GGCTCGCTTTTAAGTACATGTACTAATGACATAGTCCAGTAACCCACAGTCATTGAAGCAGTTTCTAGACCCCTGTTGCACTTAAATATGCTAATGTTCCCCCATACTTTGATATGCACACATATTCTGGTAGACAAATCAAAATTTCTCACCACAGTAGGCTGCCATGCCAGCAAACAAAACAAAAGCAGTGGGTAGAAGAGGGAAGGGTGTTGATTCTACCTGAGGCCTATCTGTAAGAATTAGCCCCACTGCATATAACATGGCAATCCAGCAAGGATATAAGGGCATCACAGGTAAAAAGCAGTGGTAAGCAAGCAACATTCCTACCAGCCAAGGAATATACAACCAGCTGCAAGTGCTGCAGGAAGTCTTGGCAACATGCTGGGCCACCAAATCAGCATTCAGGTAAGGTCCCCTCTTTAACTGCCTATTCCACTCTGGAAAAATGTTTAGGAAAGTGTAAACCTATGTCTTATTTGTCAGCAGGTACTGCAACATACCCTGGGCACAGGGGCTTGCAAGTGCCATCATTAAGTTATGCTGTTTACGTTGTGTTTGTTGTAGCTCTTTGCTTATAAAGTGGCTGCATATCCATGCTTTTGAGTTTTTCCAGGATTCAGATATGCACCCAGCTGCAGGTTTATATTTGGGTGCTCTGAGACCTGTGAGCACAGTTAAGAATTTGTCTGTGTGTCTGCTGCCTGTGCTTGTTGGTATAGCTGAACTGTGTTTACATCAGAGGTTGGACTACAGGTAAATCTATTTCATTAAAAGATCAAGGCTATTACTGATAGTCTTGGAATGTAGTGATTTACTGAATTCCTGTAGATTCTGTTATGAAGAGATGGTAGATCAATAGCAGTTAGGGAAGGGGCATATTTGCATCCACTGTTTTTGTTGTTGGGGTTTGTTTGTTGTTTTGATTATGTCCTGGGAAAAGCTGGTGGGGACACTTTCTGGCTTGCTTGCAGGAAATCAAAGAACATCAGATGGTGGGAATACTGGATCTTCTAGTTAGGAAAGGAACCTTGTTGGGCATGTGGCTCAGAGGCAGAGTTTTGGCTTTGTGCTCATGAAGAAAGTCCTCGGTTCAGTCCTTGTTAAAATTAAAGGACCTCAGATAAGAGGTGCTTGACACCTTGAAGAGACAATAGAATATACAGTACTGAGCTAGATTGACCAGTGGACTTATTTGTTCATATGTTTGCACATCACCAGACTTTCTGAGGGAGAGAGGGAGAAAGCAAGATAGCTTTTCTCTGTTTTTCCCCAGAAAAATGAATAGGTAGTGTGAACTCATCCATAATGCATTGGATCAGGCAAGAAACATAGGAAGACTAAGGAACCCCAAAAAGTCCAGCAATTCTCATTTCCTCTAATTCCAACTTAATTAATCACTGCTTGTTCTCTCAAAGCCCAGTTGTGGTATTCCTGAATCATTCCTTAATGAACATTGGTGGGGGGGGGGGGGGGGGTTGAGGGAAAGGCTTTTCACTTTGCAGCCAAAATGATCCCTTACTTTTCATTTTTTAATTATTACAATTTCATGAATTTGTCCTGACCTGGATGACCCAGACTAGCCTGATCCCATCAGATCTCAGAAGCTAAGTAGGGTCAGCCCTGGCTAGTACTTGGATGGGGCAACAGCAAGGAAGTCCAAGGTAGCTATGCAAAGGCAGGCAACCTCAAACAACATCTTTTGCCTTGAAAACACTATGGGGTCACAATAAGTCGACTGCAACTTGACAGTACTTTCCAACGCCAATTTCATGAACATGTAATTATGATAAAAATATGAGCAGTGGATTCGACAGCGAAGTGAAAACTGGTACTTCCATCCCTTCCAAAAAAAAATAAAAACCTCCAGAAACTGATATTAACAATTGATTCATCAGTATCATAGCCATGAGAGAACAGGAAAACAAAGGAACAAATTGAAAATTTTGTGGAGATACAGAACCTTTCCTGAATGGGACTTACTTCCAAGTAAACATACTGTAAGATCTTGCCCGTGGAGATGAGCATTGCTGGATTTTTATGAAGACTGTAGCTCTACATTAAGTACCATGTGGAACCCATTTCAGTTCCTCTTACTTCTGATAGAGGAAAAGGAATGACTAAGCAGCACAAAAGTAGCCTGATAAGGAAATGTCTTTTATATGTTAATTATCAGAAACACCAGGATAACATGGGTGTTTTCTGCAGAAATGTATTTATTTATGTTATAATTTGAATTTATAAACTGCCCTTCCCTGAGTACACAGGACTTAGGGTGGTGCACATCAAAGAATAAAACATTCATAAATATACAACAATGTAAGCAAAATAATAACAACAACAATGATAGCTAAAACAATCTCAGATGACACAATATTCCAGTTGTGTTACTGCCTCACGGGGAAGTTCGGGAAGAAGCAGGGATTGGGGAGGGAAGGGAAAGGGACTGCCAGAAAGGTGGTACCCGTCGCTGTCTTCAGCCAAAGCCTGGTGGAACATCTCTGCCTTTCAAGCCCTGTGGAACTACATTAGGTCCCGCAGGGTGCAGATATTATTCAGCAGAAGAGTTCCATCAGGCAGGGGCCAGGGTAGGAAAGGCCCTGGCTCTGGTTGAGGACAGGCAGACATCTTTTGGGCTGGGGATTACCAGTAGATTGTTCTCTACAGAGCCTAATGTGTTCAGTTGCTTTTATATTAGGGGCAAAGAAACTACCTCTAAAAATACTGTAGTTTTCTAAACCTAGAAGAGATAAATGGATAGACAGAATCTCTTGGCCTACCATTTCTTCCCTCTTGCAAGAACAACTCAAGATTCCTTTGCAATGCTAAGGGAGTTTGACTGGCAGGGAAGGGGTTGGCTTGCCCTGCTACAGGATTTCAGGCATACTGGAAGGCTTGTTGGTAGTCCCAAGTGTATGTTCTAGGGGAAACAGATATGCAGGTGTTTTTTTTTAATTTAAAATTTTTTATTATATATTCAGAATATTAAAACATACAACAATTTCTGTAATAAACATTTCAGAGTAGGTAATTTGCAAGTAAATGCTTTTTTGAGTAAATTTGCATTAAGCATAGTGGAGAAAAATTGAAACATTGTACATTATATTATTCCTTAGGAGATGAGAGGGAGGAACCATCAATCGAGAATCCTGAAATCTCAGTTGTCATGGCTAGGTTCAGACTTTGATATTACTAGTTCTTTGAGTTCCTCTTCCCAAGACTCCAGCATAATTTAACAGGGACAGGGAGCAGCCCTCATTCTTCAAGCCAGAGAATGGTTTGCAAAGCATTCGTACTCCAGTGAGCTTTCTTGAAGTTTGGGATGCAGCTTTCCAAGGTCCTGACAGCATTTCTGCTCTGAACAGTTAGGCAGACCCATCTCCCTGGCAAGACTGCCTGGGCTGAAGCTCCAGTGAAAGTGTCAGAACTGTGTTTTATCTTGAATCAGCCAACAAGGTCCCCTACCCTGGCTTCTACTAGAGTTTAATGCTTCTCCTTTTTATGCAGTCTGTGTCCTGTAGCTGTGTTCCTTTTCTGTGTCTTGGCTTCTTCTTTATTTGGCTGTTTGTGGTATGTACTTTAAGAGTATGGCCTCTCTCACTGCATGCCCCCTCCACCTGTTTATTTAAATTAACTTTATTTCCTCCCCACACACCCTTTTCCTTGCAGTAAAAGGTGGAATTATTTGTTCTCCCCCTTTCTCCATCTCTTTATGTCTCTCATTTCAGAAAAGAAGCAGCTGCCCAAAATACGACTTCCATCCTTGAAATTCCGCCCGAAGAAACGCACAAAGCCCCCTCCTGAACTTGGCTACCCTTGAGTTTGTTTCTCAGGAACTCTGCAGCACCTCCAAGGGATTCAGTTCACGAATCATTCCTCCAGGACAGAGAGTACCTTCTCTCTTGTAATCTGCCTTAAGCGTGGAGCTTTTGCCATCAAGAGAACAGCCTGTTCATTACCTCCCCCAACAGATTTCCAAGGCCTTTACTTGACTGAACTAATTGTTGGGGTGTTTTTTTTATTATTTTTAATTCTTTTTTTTTTTAGATTTCTCTGGTTTGTCATTAACCAGCTGACCTTGTTTTGCGTTTTTATTGTGTCTGTGACATTTTCTGTTTAAGTAAAGAGGGACGCCATGTCCTGGTCTCTTTCTTGCATCCTCTTTGTTGTGCGTGTGTCTGTTTATTCTTACTCATCTTTTCAGTAAGCAGGTAATGGTTACACCCATTCTACATGTGCTGTTTGATTTCAGTTGCACATAGAGAGGACTTTAGCTAGAATTTCTGGGCATACCTTGGCTCTCCTCTTGCTGTCTGCATCGTTGAATCCCAATACGGGGAACTGCCCTAGAGGCAGGTCGGTAAACTGGGATGCTGCTGAGCATGAAAGTGGCTTGTTACTTTGGTTAGCTTCCTTTTATATGGAAACTTAAAAGTCCTGAGAACAGCCAAGGAGGTCTATAACCTCTGTTAAGAAGTATATTATTTGGTCACTAATGTAGCCCTTAATGTAACACAGTGTTCCGAAAACTGGCTTACACAAACATCGGAATCAAATCGAAAAGCTTTTTCTGGGCTGAACCACTTCAAGTGATGGGGTGCAGATTGCACGATGGACTGTTCTTGCATGGGAAGGGGGAAAACCCCTTCCCCGCATTGGGAAAATAGCACACAAGGGAGAAGGGTAGGGTGAACTTTTCTTGGCATGCTAGTTTCCCATGTGCAGGAGGAGTCAAACGTGATTGCAGCCCAAGTGGTACAATCCAGGAAAAGTTGATTTGGTTGATTGCATAAAGTCTTTCTTTTTCCCGACTGAACAGGGGTTTCATATCATTTAAGAAGGCCTTAATCCTGCACTTTTTACACTGTGGTGAAGTTTCTGGTCTCCAAATTAGTCTGCCCGTTCAAATGTCACCTTGTTGCCTGCAAGAACCATGTAACTGATGTTCGCTGTGGCTCAGAAAGGATCGGTCTGCTAAGCAAGTGATGCTTCTCTCCTAGACAAAGACGAATGTTCGAAGGATAATGGTGGATGCCAACACGAGTGCCTGAACACTTTCGGCAGCTATGAGTGCCAGTGCCGCAGTGGCTTTGTACTGCATGACAACAAGCACGATTGCAAAGAAGGTGCGTTATTTGATGGTCTTGAAAGGGGCCTCTTTTGCAGCTCTCCAGATGCCAATCCCATAATCCATATGCTGAGACGATTGCTTTGGTCAAGCAATCATGCTTGCGACACCATGATTTCACTAGAATGTCACATGGTGAGAATACAACTGTTTTGTATTTAGAACAGTCTATATGGTAGGGAGATATATGATTCTTAAATTCTTGAGTGCTTGAATGGGATATGCCAGTCCTGAAACCACAGGGAAGAGACTTGTTCATGCTACTTGTTCTGTGCTTCCCCGAAAGGAACTCCAATCTCATAAAATAGAAAAAAGGACCTATTTTCATCTGAAACTCATTGAAAAGCATGAGCGCAAATGTGGTTCAGTGGATGGTATGTTGGGCTTTCATCTGATGATCAGGAATGAGATAGTTCTCAGCCGCAAACTCATAATGGCCCCCCCTTAACCTCTATTCCAATTTTGACTCAATACGTAGAAATGCACAACACACTGAACAACTATCTTAAGGGGAGAAATTCAGCTGCTTGCCATCTCTTTTTTTCCTTCTTCTTAATATGGCATGTGGGGGAGGTCTAGGCTTTGAAGCTCTAGCACAGGGATGCAAGAAGGAGTCACACTGAGGGTGGAAATTGGGAATGTAAGAAGAGCCCTGCTGAATCAGAAAAGTGGAGTCCAGCACCCTGTCTCACACAGTTGCCAACCAGTTCCTCTGGACAGCCGACAACAGGGCATAGAGGCCAAGGCCTTCACCTGATGTTGCCTCCTGGGTCTGGGATTCAGAGGCTTAGTGCCTCTGAATATAGAGGTTCCTGTCAGTCACCATGGCTAGTAGCCATTGATAGACCTATCCTCCATGAATGTATCTAATCCTCTTTTAAAGCGGTTTATTCCTGTAGCCCTCACCACATCCTCTGGCAGCAAATTCCACATTTTAATCACTCTCTGTGTAAGGTAGTGTTTCCTTTTGTCCGTCCTGAACTTGCTGCCCATCAGCTTCACTGGATGCCCTCAAGTTCTAGTATTTTGGAAGAGGGAGAAAAATTACCGTTACACTTGCACCTGCGTAGTTGCTAGGCGGAGGAGCCTGGAAAGTAGTATAGTGGAGGCAGGGTGGATTGGCTAGCCCATTGGGTGGCTACGGATTGAACAGCAGCTGCCTTTTTACCTTCTTTTTTCTTTCTTTTTTTTCTTTTCTTTTTCTTTTTGCTGTCTTTGCTCTCAGAGCCATGCTCATTTCACCTGACGGCTGGGGAACAGGTTCACATGTTTGGAAGAAGAGCTCTGAACATGCATGGATGAGATTGAACTGGAGATTTTTCTTTCTTTTAAGTGTAAAGACAGAAGGTTGGGGGGTCTGGATGGAAAATTAGTTTAAGGGGGATTTAAAGAAGAATTGGCCGGTCCCTGACCTGGATAGTTCTTGGAAGCTAAGCAGGGCCAACCCTGGCAAGTACTTGGATGGGAGACCTCCAGGGAATACCAGGGCCAGGACCCAGGGCCAGGCAATAGCAAGCCCAAGCCCCACTAGGGGTTGCCAGAAATCAACCATGACTTCCAGGCATGGACACACTAATAATAATAATAATAATAATATGAAGAAGAAGAAGAATGGGTCTGGGGGGTTGGAGCTATGCACAGTTTGTGTCCTTGGATTTGGGTCTTGTATTTGTAAGAGTAATCAATATATGTAGATTTAGCACATAAGCCATTTGGCATCTATTTATGATTCCTACTTATTGCAGCTGGCTGTGATCACAAGATGACTTCCATCAGTGCAACCATCACCAGCCCAAACTGGCCTGATAAATACCCGAATAAGAAAGAGTGCACCTGGGCAATAACCACCACACCGGGACACCGCGTCAAACTGGTAATGTACAGGAATGAAAGTCACTAACATAAAAATTAGTGCTTATGTTACAAGGTTCCACACCGGGCTGGCTCTTGTGGATCCCTGCCATTAATGGCAGTGCTTTCCCCTGATGCAAGGGACCTCTTCCTGTCACAAGAGGCAGAGGCAGGCTCCTTGAATCAGTGGGAAAGTGCCACCCTTAATGGAATAGATCTGTGATTCAACCCTGTATTTAGATGAAGGTCCATCTTGTCTCCTTAGTAACTGAGCTAGGCAAGTTAAGATTGGCCCTCACCCCTACAATTAATTATTATTTCAGAACTTGCATGAGAAGAGCAGAAAATAAATTGAAACACAGCACTGTAAGCAGATTTCAGCATTATCTAAATGATATAGTCGCCACTATCCTTACAGTTGTTCCTACACCACTTCAATGATATATAAATCCCCTCCCACATAGTTAGGGTAGTGGTTACACATTCTGACAGTGAAATTTAGAAGTCCCATGCATGTGTCATAACCTGCTACAGGGGACAGAAGCTTTGTATGTTACTGGAGCAATGTGGAAACAACCTTTGCACAGATGGAACCATGCCATTCAGTTAATATTGGAATCCATCAGCCATCTAACACAGAAGCTGAAGCTGGATCCCACTAGTAGTGGCTGGTTAGAGTCATAGAGCATCAGTGTTTTGTTTCTCACAATCCTTGTGAGAACATTTCTTGTTTTCCAGACCATCAGGGAGTTGGACATTGAAGGCCATCAAGAATGCACCTATGACCACCTGGAGGTTTACAATGGAAAAGATGCCAAAGCTCCTGTCTTGGGACGATTGTGTGGAACTAAAGAACCAGGCCCTATAATCTCCTCCAGTAACAGGATGTTCCTCAGGTTCTTCTCAGATAACTCTGTCCAGAAGAAAGGCTTTGAGGCAACCTACACATCAGGTAACACTTAATGTTGGTTCATTCATGGGTCCAAACCGAAGTTGTATTTATGAGTGAGATAATCTGACCACAGTTACACAAACTTTGATGACTTTTAACTGTAATGTACTCCATGTCAAGCTGCCTTTAGAAAAGTTCTTGGAAACTGCAGCTGGTTCAGAATGTGGCACTAAGAAGAAGCTGGTTTGACTACTAGTAAAGGTAAAGGTTTCCCTTGCTTGAAAGCCAGTCGAATCTGACTCTAGGGGGCAGTGCTCATCTCCATTTCCAAGCCGAAGAGCCAGCGCTGTCCAAAGACTTTTCTGTGGTCATGTAGTTTGCATGATTAAACGCTTAGGTGCACCGAACACTGATACCTTCCCACCGATGTGGCACCTATTTATCTGCTTGCAATTTCTTGCTTTTGAACTGCTAGGTTGGCAGGAATTGGGGCCAGAGACAGGAGCTCACTCCGTCACACAGCACTTGGCTCTCGAACTGCCGAACTACAGACCTTCCAGTCTGCAGCTCAGCATCTTAATCTCTGAGCCACTGCAGCCCTGGTTTGACTACTACTCTGGTGTTAATTCAGTTTCACAGTTTATTTCCAGGCCTGGCTCAAAGATAAGAACATAAGAAACGCCAATGTTGGATCAGGCCAAAGGCCCATCCAGTCCAACATTCTGTCACACAGTGGCCAAAAATACCAGGTGCCATCAGGAGGACCACCAGTGGGGCCAGGACATTAGAAGCCCACTGTTGACCCCCCCCAAGCACCAAGAAGACAGAGCATCACTTGCTCCTTTGACCTTTAAACTGCTAAGCTCTTTGGGACAAGAGTGTTTCATGAGCCTCCCCATACATTTAGGTTATTGGGAGAAGCTTTGCTCAATATTCTGCTGCCATTAGATGTTGAGTGGGTAATCCCAACAGCGGGGGACTGGCACACAAAATTTTAGATGCAGCCATGCTGCAAATTTGGTGCCTCAACCTCAAAAAACAGTTATAGCCTGTGGGGCCCATTGACTATAATGGTCCACATAGGCTATAATGGAGCCGGCAAAAAATAGATATTTTTTACACACCCGTTATGCTTTTCAGTATGATTAGTAAATTGCTTTGAGTCACAGGAAAAGTGTGATATAAATACTTGAATAAATAAGTAGTTTGGGCAGGTTGAGAACATTTAAGCAACTTCCTGTTAGGTTAGGCAGGGTTCTGACAGTGATTGTTCCACCTATGTTACACTTAACCTGTAATTTGTCATATTTCACTAAAAAAAAAAAACAAAATAGACTGCAAGAGGTCCCCCCCCCCCCCCAAACGCCGTGAACACCTGCTGGAAAACAAATATTAAATTACATCTTTGATATTTGAAATGTATTACATCTTTATATTTTTGTGAACTTTTTCAGCAATTTATTTTGTATTTACTATACTCTATTTGCTGTACCCCATAGTCTATATGTTACTATCCCCATAGACAACATATTCTGTAATTAAATTAGACTTGATTCTGTTTTATCTTATAACGTTTAAATTATTCTTAAAATATAGTTTAAATATAGTTTAAAGGAATTCATTCTAGTTTTTTACAAGGTTATGGAAATAATCTAAAAAACTAATTTATGCAATAGTCAAATGTAGACTTGCTCACAACTTTAATACTACTAGCTTTTTTCCACTCATGAGGTAGAATTTTTGCTCACAGGACTGTGGAGCTTAAAGGGAACATTGGAGTGATAAGGCTTTCTCAGTAGCCGCACTGACAATCTAGAACTCTGTGTCTTGTGAAACACATCTGGCTCCAGCTCTGTTAACATTCAGAAAACCTTCAGTTGGCATATGAATTTAACTTGTTGATAGTTATGGTGATGTTACTGTTCTGATAGTGGTTGGGTTTGGTTTATGTTGACTCTGTACTTTATCAGCTCTTATCTACTAGCTATGTTTCATTGTTTTGCAGTTTATTGTACATAATATTCTAAATTTATTCTCACCTGGGGCCAGAAGGTTACCAGAAAGTGGAATGTAATTTTTTTAAATTAACTAGGCTCATATTAAATGCATTGGATTCTGCCACCTCCAAATTTCATTCTGTCTATAAATAAAGTTGCCTTTTCCCCTCATACATATATTAGGAGAAAGCTACCCTTTTTGTACTGTTTCATGTATTGTGGTATAAGCAGGTACATATTAAAATTTTATTCACCTGCTTCCCCCCACACACACAGTTTGTCAAGTGGCTACATGGATTTATTTCACTGTGTGTACACCTAATGCATGCTGCAGAAGTCATAGTCAGTTGATTTCTCTGTTGTTTTTCCCATTATGAAAGCCCTGTCAAGGGGTGACTAGCAAAATCTGGCTGTCTGGGGGGGAAGACTGACAGTGATTGGCTCACCTGTATTAAGAGAGCTTATTTCTGATTGGGTGACCTTCCTTTGGGAAATCCTGAGAAGCAATTATGTGTGTGTATTCTGACTTCCAGAATGTGGTGGCCAGATGCGAGCTGAAGTGAAAACCAAGGATCTCTATTCGCATGCCCAGTTTGGAGACAACAACTACCCTGGGGGCTCAGATTGTGAATGGGTAATTGTGGCTGAGGAGGGATATGGAGTGGAACTCATCTTCCAGACATTTGAGATTGAGGAAGAAGCAGACTGCGGCTATGACTACATGGAGCTGTTTGATGGCTATGACGGAACAGCCCCACGCCTGGGACGCTACTGCGGCTCTGGGGTAAGCTGCTTGTTTTTGCGTTCTTGGCCATTACAGAAGCATAATTAAACACAGACTGTTGATTTCTGTGCAGTTTAAATACACCCAACGTGCTGTGGATCACACTGTATGTTAGTCTGAATACTGTGATGCAGCATGGTCTCATCTGCATGTGCTGTATGCTTATTTCCCTTATAAATAAAAGCTGAATGGTGGTGGCACTTCTCTAGAACATTCCACACGCTCCAAAATCAGTTCGCTCTCTGATCTGTCATTCAGAGGGTCTCCCTATCCACTGGCTGCTTTGCCTGAGTCCTGCCTCCAACATTCTAGACATTTTGCTGTTCCTCTCCTCTCCTCTCCATAGCCAGTCAGAACACAGAAGTTATTTGCATATGCAGCCTCATTGGCCTCTGCCTCTGAACACAGAGGTCGTTTGCATATGCGACTTGATTGGCTTTTGCCTCTAACATTCTAAACAGTTTGCTGTTCTGAGGCAAAATGTGTCCAATCTCCAGGTGAGGGCTGGAGATCACTCAGAATTACAACTGCTTTCCAGATGGCAGAGATCAGTTCCCCTGGAGAAAATGGTGGGCTCTGTATCCTTATATGCTGCTGAGGTGGCCCCCATATGACAGCCAATGTGACGTAGCAGTCAGGGCTTCAGAGCACGGGAGAGGCTGCAGGTGTGTGGGGGGTGGAAAGCTGAAGAGTGAGGGGGAAATAAAGGTAGGTTGATGATTGGCTGGGAAGGAGATAGGGTTGCCAACTCCAGGTGGGAAATTCCTGGAGATGTGAGGGATGGAGCCTGGAGAGGGTGAGGTTTCAGGAGGCGTGGGACCTTGGACAGGTACAAAGTCATAGACTCCACCCTCCAAACCAACTATTCCCTTCTGGGGAACCATTGTTGCCAATCTCCAGGTGAGGGCTGGAGACCACTCAAAATTACAACTGTTCTTTAGGTAGCAGAGATCAGTTCCTCTGGAGAAAATGGTGGACTCAGTGTCATTATACTCTGCTGAGGTCGCCACAGCAAATTGAGTGTCCAAGGCCGGGGCACGCACCCAGAGCCTCTTTCTAGAGGCCGTTGTATTTATTTCCACAACGGGCCTTTTTCCTAGTATCCTTATAGTCCTCAGGTAATGTAGCAGCAACAGGACTTTTAAAAATCACAAATGCATGTATCTTTGATAACGCGAATAGCGAGAGCAGCAACTGAAGCTAGAGTAGCTAAACAGGCAAACAAATAGAGGAGAAAAGGTAGTGAATTTAACCACACAGCCTCCAGGTCATTTTAGGTGGGGAGGTGCAGGACAAGGCAAGCGGAGTGGAACAAAAGAAGCAGTTCCCTCTCGGCATGCGATTCTGTGCATGTGGGGGGCTTTACCGCTACCACAAATCCTCATTGCCTAGGGTGTAAATCACAGCATGAGTTACCTAATCCTTAGCACAAGATTTCAGTTTTGGGGTACAGATGAGGCACAAGCCTAGCCTGCCTATACTAAAGACGGTAGGTCTTGCTGTTAAAGTTACAGAGAAACCATGTTTTCTCGTTTGCCTTAACACAGCCTCTCTCTCAACTTTTTTCTCCTGCTAGCCCCCTGAAGAAGTCTATTCTGCTGGCGACTCAGTGATGGTAAGATTCCACTCTGATGACACCATCAACAAGAAGGGCTTCCACCTACGTTACACTAGCACCAAATTCCAGGACACGTTGCACACGCGGAAATGATGCCCAGCCACCCAACCCCCTACAGCAGACAACAGGACTTCTAGCAATGGAGGGACAGGTCTTGGCTGCTGAAAATAACAAAAAAGACACCCATGGAGAGAAAATTCAAATAGACTGGAAGGAGAAATACACAGTACACCTCAGAGTGTGAAACACTCACACAGAAACAAAGGTGCTGCCAGCCGCTTACGTGGACTGGGCTCGGGGGAATCCTTTCATTAAAAAAAAAATCTGTGCCTCTTTATTTCTTGAGCAGAGTGTCTCCAGGACTAACCACTTCATGGCTTCCATTTACATTTTTTTGTTTGCGCTGCTCTCCCTCCCCCCCCCCAACCTCAGGGGTTAGCTGTTACAACTATTTTGGGAAATGTAACTTGAAAAACTTCTTGCTCGCTCTTTAACTTTTTAAAAAATTAAATTAAATTTTGAATTGGAACAAAAGCAAAACCTGCATTCCCTGCTTGGAGAGTCCGGATCTAGGAAAAGAGAAAGTGCTGTAACTCACCATACCTTGTTTCTGATTCTTAAGACTGTACTTTCCCAGGTTCCTTGGGCAACTTTATTACTAGGTCTTTCCAAAGCCCTTTCAGAGGACTAATTCTTAGTCGTTCTTGCACTTTCTGTTTTGAGGCTACATCTGTAGCTATTTCTCTTTTCCCCTGGCTTGCCATTCACTTGCTCCCTACGATTGGGGTGAGTTCTTCCCCTATTACATCGGCTCAGTTGCTGCTTTGGGCCCCTACCATGAGCTCTCATATTTCCTGTGACATTAATTGGCTATATGTTTTGGTTCCTTGCCCTCGATTCTTGGTGGGTGCACTTCTTTTAGATGAGGATCAATTGATTTTTCTGCTAAACTTAATGGTAAGAATGCTGTACAGTTATTGGTCATAATCCTAGACAAGTCATATGCATGGCCAAGAAAAAAACTTCTACCCCACCAGCATATATGGATGTTCACATTACAGTCCTCTTTCTCATTCATTTCATGAAGAAGTCTTTAGGAAAGACCAGGACCCAACAGATTATTATAACACTATGATGATATATCAATTATGGATTTTTTAAAGGTTTCTGATGAGGGGAAATGGCCACCAGAGAGGGGCTAGGGCACAGAAAACGGCAGTGATGTGGGTGGGACTGGGAAGATCTGGACTTTCTTCTCTACATGGTTCTCCTCCCCTGGGCTTTGCTGCAATCTTTCCCAAAATGTGGCAGCAAAGCAGGTTTAGGAGAGATGCCAGGAAAGATGGGAGAACCTGGGAGCAGTGTTCCCTCTAAGCTGAGTTAGTGTGAGCTCATTTCATGAAGAAGTCCTTAGGAAAGACCAGGACCCAACAGATTATTATAACACTATAATGTTATATAACACTATATAATCAATTGGATTTTTTTAAAGGTTTCTGATGAGGAGAAATGGCCACCAGAGAGGGGCTAGGGCACAGAAAACGGCAGTGATGTGGGTGGGACTGGGAAGATCTGGACTTTCTTCTCTACATGGTTCTCCTCCCCTGGGCTTTGCTGCAATCTTTCCCAAAATGTGGCAGCAAAGCAGGTTTAGGAGAGATCCCAGGAAAGATGGGAGAACCTGGGAGCAGTGTTCCCTCTAAGCTGAGTTAGTGTGAGCTAGCTCACAGTTTTTTAGCCTCTGGCTCACACATTTTTGTCTTAGCTCAGGAAGGATGGCTCAAGTGCAAACTAATTTATGCAATAGCCAAATTGTTCACTCACAACTTTAATGCCAGTAGCTCACAAAGTAGAATTTTTGCTCACAAGACTCCACAGTTTAGAGGGAGCATTGCCTGGGATGTGTATGGCAGCACCATGATGTTGTGAGGGACCAGGGGGAAAACTCACTTTCTGGTAGCAGCCAACCCTTGCATAAGTGACCTAAGTTTTAGATCCTTCATTTTCCTCCACTTGTGCCTGATGGCTGAACTTGGCCCCTTCTGTGTGGTCTTTTCAGCTTCTCTGTGGCCTTCAGTGTTTGGGCCACATTTTCCTTTGCTTTTTGATTTAATGCTCTATACCAAGCCATTGCTCTACACCAAGTTGTGCATGTTCTAGTGCTGTGATCCTGTGCCCTCATAGATGAATCTAATGCCCAGTGACTACAGAGAAATGTAAACATGAATAACAGGCTTTGCAAGGGGTCAAATGTACCCTGAATACAATAGACTAGTGTCACATCAATCCAAAATGAGCCCTCACATCAATTACAAGATCAGCTCCGGTTGCACAACTGGCACATCTGACTATTAGGAGCCTATGCAGGAAATGTCCAGGAAAGAGGCATTCATTTCCTTCCACTAAGGACATTTCCTTCTCTTTTAACCACAGCACCATCCAGCAAAAGGTATTAGTGAGTGATTATGGCTACAGTCCTATAGGTAGATCCTCACCATTTAAGCATTGTAATTGTCAGTGCTGAAATCTGCAAATAACTGGGAGGCCAGGTCCTGCTGCCTCCCAATAGTAAAACAAACAAAACACACACATCAAAAACCTACCAAATTTCTGGCAAATTTAAGGATGTAACTGTTGGGGGAATTAAGAGTCCAGGAGCTTTTCCTAGAATTCCCATCCCCACCCAGGGGGTGGGGTGAAAGTGACGGGAATTCCATAGTTTGGGGCGGGGGGAGAAACCTGTTCCATAGTATCTATGAAAAAACCCATACTGCACAAATTTTCAAGCAAGTAGCAATTTCAGTATTCATCTTACAGAAGGGAAAAGACTTATAAACAAATAGTGCACATTATTAATTTAGGAAATATTATCTATTTAGGAATGCATTCCGGCTGCTCTGGCAAGACCTAACCATGGTGTTGCAAAACAAAGAGAGCTCACGGGATGGAAGTTTGGAAAGAAGTAAACAACCGTGATGTATTATGCCAAAAAAGTCTCCAAAGACCATAAATTTCTTTTTCCAATATTTCAGTTTATTGGAAGAAATTCAAACGCCATCAACACAACGGATCATGCATATTATCTCATTTCGTGTATAACTTTTTCAAGGTGAGTAGTGTTGAAATACAATATTAATCCATTAATGGTTTTGATGAGTGTCACTATGGATTAATATTGTATTTCAACACTACTCACATTGGAAAAGTTATGCACGAAACGAGATAATATGCATGATCCGTTGTGTTGATGACGTTTGAATTTCTTCCAATAAACTGAAATATTGGAAAAAGAAATTTCTGGTCTTTGGAGACTTTTTTGGCATAATACATCACAGTTGTTTACTTCTTTCCAAACTAACCATGGTGTTGACAGAGGGCCCTTAGCATTTTAAACACTGGTGTTAAATACCTTCAGAATCCAGATTAGCTGTCAGTCAAGAAATTGGATGGTCCACTCCTGATGAAACCCATACCCTTTCCTTTTCTGACCAGAAGACTCTGACCAGAGTCATGAATTACTAGGTTAAAAACACCCTCCCTGTCAAGTCAGGAGCTTGGAGCCACAGATCCTCATATCTAGATGTTTTGGCTTCGAGGCTGGAACTCAGAAATGTAAACAGTTCTTTTAGAGCAGAGTACAGGATGCATCTTCAGGCTGAAGAGCCTCCTGCAAAGCCTTATGGGAGACAACCAAACAAAACCAAATTGGCCTAAGCCAATTCATGCTGCTGTACAGAACTGCCCTCTTGCTTATAATTCTGCCACAGTAATGATCATGATGGTGGTGTGGAGGAAGTAAAAATGGTCTGGAGACCATGTCACAAAGTCCCATCACAGACTGCAAATAAGTGAAACCACAAATTATGAATTCACAAATACTGAGGGCCTAATGTACACATGTTGAGCTCAGTGGGACTTGTTTCTGTGTACACAAGCTCAGGAATAGACTACTAGTCCCAAGGAATGCAATTTAAATGCTACTCAAATCCCTACTGATTTCAACAGGACTAAATCATAACACAGGGGCTGCGGTGGCTCTGAGGTTAAGACGCTGAGCTGCACACTGGAAGGTCTGTAGTTCGGCAGTTCAAGACCCGAGTGCCACGTGATGGAGCAAGCTCCCGTCTCTGGTCCCAGCTCCTGCCAACCTAGCAGTTTGAAAGCAAGAAGGTACAAGTAGATAAATAGGTACCCACTTTGGTGGGAAGGTAACAGCGTTCCATGCGCCTCGGCGTTTAGTCATGCCGGCCACATGACCATGGAAAAGTCTTTGAACAGCACTGGTTCTTCGACATGGAAATTGAGATGAGCACTGCCCCCTAGAGTCAGATTCGACTGCCTTTCGAGCAAGGGAAACCTTTACCTTAAATCATAACACAGGCCAAAACGATACTTTCTACAGTAAGCCAGAACTGGGAACCCAGATCTCTACTATGAACAGTGATAGAGAAGCTTTACTTGCCCCCAACCCACTGTTTTCGCACTGAATACTCACTTTCAAGCCAGTTTTCTCTGCAGCACAGCAAACACATATCCAGAACCTCAGCAGGCGATTGCCACATACCATTCACTGTATTGTACGCTGTGCATACGTTAGGTACACTTGGATATGTATTATCAAGAAAAAGAATTATGCTCTTCCAGTTACTATCAGGACCACGCGATTGTTGCCTGGCTATGTTGGTGGTTTCACCCTGGAAGTCTTCTCCATTCTCAGATTAATTCATTTCCTTCTGATGCCCACAGCAAAGGTGAAATGAGGATGCTTCAAATATCCATGTATTAGATTAAGTTGGTTCCTGCACTTCATGTGGTCTCTTGAATCACCTAGTTATAAATGGTCCATACATAACCATGGTAGTTCTGAGGACAGTGTAGGATTCTTCCCGTGTTAAGAATCCCATTAATCATTCACTGAAGGCCCTCTGTTTTACAGGATGAGACCACAACTTTGGTTTTAAAAAAGCCTATATGACACTTATGTAAACTGCCTAAGGTATAACTGTGCTTATGACATCAGCTCTGTAGTTGCTGATGTCACAGGACCTCTGGTCCCCGTGAACCACTTGCAAGACATGGGAAGCAAAGGTAGCATGAAGATGGGCTAATTGACCAGTAGTTGGAGTAGAAAGGAAATGGACAAGAAAAGATGGCAGAAATTGGGCCTCACTCCTAGACAGCTTTCCAACAAGATTGGGGTTACGTATTCCATGGCAGACTTCATCACACAAAGTTACCGTACTCCACTACAAGTCAATTGCTGCCCAAAAGCTGCTTGTGCCCATTCACCTCGATGGAGACGGAAGAGAACTAGGGAAAGTTATTGTACATCTAAGATTACATATAAAGACCGAGGCGAGAAATTACTTGAATGTGCAGTCCCACCAGTGTCTTGCAGCAGAAAGAGAGGAAGATCTA